TAGATTTGAGGGGGAGGGGAAATCAAGAGTTCGAAATGGTGATTAGCCATCGCAGTGGACATGCTAAGGAGGTAGTTGATTATTTAAGTCTAGGATCAGGTGACTGGTGTGCATTGGAGAGAGAAACGTGAGAGTCATCAGCTCATAATGTTCTTTAAAGCCGTAGGCCTGGATGAGGTCACAGGCCTTATTGCAATATGAATAGAATGCCAAGATGAAGAATCAGCAGTGGATGCTAAGAAGGAGCAGCCACTGCTGTGGAAGCCACGTGAAGGAAGTGTTTTAAGGAGGAGGTGACTGACTACATCAGACGCTGCTCACAGGTCAAGTAGGATGTGGACAGAGAATTCGCCTTTGGATTTAGAAAAGTGGAGGTCACTGTGAACCTTGACAAGAATAGTCTGGGATATGGACAAAATTGTGGACTCAAAGGAGTAGAAATACAGCTACATGCAAGAGAAAGGATTGGCCTTAGAAATAGAGCATTGAGTGAGAAAAGTCACAGTAGACTTTTGTGTTTTTTAAAAAATTTAAAACAAAACCACACATTGCAGTGTTTAAGGATACATATATATGTGGTAAAACTATGACTTTTTTTTAAAAAAAGGTGAATGGTAAATACAAAATTAAGATTAGTGGTTTCTGTATGGGGAGGGAGGGAATGGGATCTGGAAGGAGCACACAGGTACGTGCTAATTTCCTAATATGTGAATCAATCAGCAGAAGACCAATACCCCAATAGATCAATGCATATAGGCAGCTAACTGAGAATTCCCAGGGAGCACAGTTAACGTGGAGAAGATGCTCAACCTTACTTATAAGAAGAAAGTTAAACAAGATTGAAGTACCATTTTTCATCTATCAGATTGGCAGAGATCAGAAAGTTTGAATGTGTCCTCTTGGTGAAGAGATAGGAAATTTACTTATTAATTACTGGTGGGACTGTGCATTGGTATCACTTCTTTGGAGGACCATTTGGCATCATCTAGCACAATTACAAATGCACACGTACTTCCTGTCTAGGAATTCATCTTCCAGGTATCTAGTAGATGTCTGAATGACATGTGCTCAATGTTATTCACTGACACTTTTTTATAGCAAAGTATTAGGAACAATTTAAATGTCCATCCATAGGGGACTAGTTAAATAAATTATGGTAAATCATCGAGTAGAATACTATGTAATGGAGGAAGAAGCCCTTTATTTATTGAAGATGAACAACCTTCAAGGTGACTTGGTGAAAAAAAGTCAGATCATAGAGCAGCATGTATAATACGCTGCTGGGGTTGGGAGGAGAGTGGTTACACACTCGAACATGTATAAACTTCTTCATACATGGAACAGATCTGGAAGGATGCACAGGAAACTGATACGGTTAATTTTCTTGGGCATGGGACAAAGAGGGAGGGAGACTTCACTAGATTTCTTTTGTAATTTGAATTTTGAACCAGTTAAATGTATTATCTATTCAAAAAATGAATTTTAAACATTTTAAAATGGAGTTATCTGCTTTTAAAAATTGGGAGACTTCACATAAAAACTCAGATTTCTGGCATCTGGCTCACCAGAGACATTTATACCAGCTACGTGACCCCTGCAGGTCCCAGAGCTTGTCACTCCTGGTCTGTGACAGAGCCGTGTCTCCTGCATACAAGAGAAATGGCAACATGCTTTCATCAGTTTCTTGGCTATTTGTGCTGAGTCTTGTGAGTGGGTGTTGCTCATGTTCCATGGCCAGAGTTGTCTACCCCATTTTACAATGCAAGTTGGGGGATCCCAGTCCTGGTGATCTTTTGACCTTGTTTGGTAGATCTCTGGACACTCACTGGCTTTCAGCCAGAGTCTAAAGTTCTCCACTTTCACTCATCTGACTCTTTTTTTTGTGGTTTAGAATCTGTCCTGATGATTGAACCCATGGCCACAGACTTACCATTGCTGATAATTTTCAAAGTAATGAAAAATGTATGATCTTTTGTTTGAGAAGATCCTTGGTAGCTACTCTTGATTTTTTGTTTTGTTCACTGGCACATGATTCTTCAGAGGCTGCAGACTGCATTAGGGCGGAGGCTTTCAATGTCATTTACCATAGCCCACAGTAAGAAATTGCTATTGTATTTCATCAAATCTAATCCCTTGATTGTAAGACATAACATTATTTTGTGTCATCAAGAAGCTACTAATTAGGGACCGACCTCGTGGCACAGTGGTTAAGTGCGCACGTTCCGCTTCGGCGGCCCAGCGTTCGCTGGTTCAGATCCTGGGTGCAGACATGGCACCACTTGGCAAGCCATGCTGTGGCAGGCGTCCCACATATAAAGTAGAGGAAGATGGGCACAGCTGTTAGCTCAGGGCCAGCCTTCCTTGGCAAAAAGAGGAGGATTGGCAGCAGATGTTAGCTCAGGGCTGATCTTCCTCAAAAAAAAAAAAAAAAAGGAAGCTACTAATTAATCTGTGATACAGCAGAGATTATACAGCATATCCAGGTTGTAGAGATGCTAAAGTGAAAAGAAATCTTAGAATTGATAAAATATGTAGCTCATTATAATGTTATATACACTTACATAGAAGTATAAATATATATGTAGCAAATACTAGTTTTAAAAATAGTACTTGCCCTTACTATGTTTGAGATACTTTAATATTTTCTGTTATATCCCATGCTATCCCATTATAAAAAAATGTTGGTTTCAATCTACTAAATTGATGTCTTGACTGATTATTGGGCCACAACTTGCAGTTTGAAGAACACTGGACTAGATGGACTAGTGAGCTTTGTGATGTGGTGTTTCTAACTCAGATTTACTCTAAGAGGGCCAATACTGAAATTCCCATATGGTTCCCACGCGAAACAGATATGTTCTCTGGATTCTTTTACAACTTGACTGAGGTATATTGAAGTATAAATTGTACGTATTTCACGTATACAATTAAAACAGGTATGAGTATATACTCATGACAGTATCACCATGACCAAGATGAGCAAATATTTCCATCACCCCAGTTTCCTCATGTCATAATCCCTGCCTGGCTCCATCCCATCCCTAGGTCACCACGGATCCGCTCTCTGTTACCACAGGTTAGATTACCTTGTCTGGAATTTTATAGAACTAGAATTACACAGTACGTATGATGTTTTCTTCCATGCAGCACAACGGTTTTGTGATTCACGCATGCTGTTTTGTATATCAGTATTCATTCCCTTTAATTTCTGAGTAATATTTAATTGTGTGGATATAACAATTTGTTTATCCATTCACTTGAACATTTGGATTGTTTCTAGTTTTTGATGATTACAAATAAAGCTGCTGTGAACATTTGTGTGCAAGTCTTTGGGCGTGTTTTTGTTTTCCTTGGGTAAATACTAAGAAATGGAATGACGGTTCATAAAGTAGGTAATGTTTAACTTTTTTTTTTTTGGTGAGGAATATTGTCCCTGAGCTGACATCTGTTGCCAGTCTTCCTCTTTTTATGTGAGGAAGATTGTCCCTGAGCTAACATCTGTGCCAATCTTCTATTTTGTATGTGGGATGCCACCACAGCATGGCTTGATGAACGATGTGTAGGTCTGAGCCAGGGATCCAAACCTGAGAACCCCAGGCCACTGAAGCAGCCCGTGTGAACCTAACCACTACACCACTGGGCCAGCCCCTGTTTAACTTTTAAAGAAACTGCCAAATTCTTTTCCAAGGTGGTTGTATCATTTTGCATTCCCACTGGCAGTGTGGGAGAATTCCAGTTGCTCCACATTCTCATTAGCGCTTGGTATGATCTGTTTTGAAATTTTAGACAATCTAATGTGGATACAATAGTAGCACCTTGTGGTTTTAATTTGCATTTCCTGGAAGGCTAATAATGCTGGTTTTCTCTTCATGTGACTATTGGTTATTCATGTATCTTCCTTGCCCAACTTTGTGTTGGGGTGTTTGTTTTCTTAAGTTGTAAGAGTTCTTTATAAATTCTGGTTACAAGTTCTTTCTCTGGTATGTGTTACAAATATTTCCTCCCAATCTGTGGCTTGCTTTTGATTTTCTCAAATAATGTCTTTCAAAAAGCAAAAGGTTTTAATTTTGATTAAGTCCAATTTATCAATTTTTTTCTTTTATGATTTATGCTTTTTGTGTTCTAAGAAACCTTTCTCTACCCTGTGGTTGCAAAGACGTCCCGTATTTTTTCTGTTTCAATCCAGATTCCCTATGTGAGGGTGCAATTTTGACATTCCCATTGAATTTCCACACTAGATAGACATGTTTCCTGTTTTTTAACCTAACTAATAATAAAAATAATTTCAGTAGTTAAACTTTTGGGAACCCCCAAATAAATTCCCTATGGGTGTATGTAGGGGTTATTTAAATGTTTAAATGCTACAGCAAAAGTTTAAAATGCTATATAGCAAAAGTCAGCAAGAAAAAAAAAGGGATAAATGAAGCAAATATGGCAAAATGATGATAACTATTGAATCCTAGATATAAGTACATGGAGGTTTGTTAAACTTTAATTTCTACTTCTGTGTATATTTGAAAACTTTTATTTAAAAAAATGCATATAAAAAGAATGCCCTCGAGGGGCTGGCCTGGTTGCATAGTAGTGAAATTCATGTGCTCTGCTTTGGCGGCCCAGGGTTTGCAGGGTCGGATCTGGGGCACAGACCTAGCACTGCTCATCAAACCATGTTGTGGTGGCATCCTAAATAAAAGAGAGGGAGATTGGCAACAGATGTTAGCTCAGGGCCACTCTTCCTCACAAAAAAAAGAAAAGAAAGAAAGAAAGAATGCCCTTGAGAAGTTACGTGTATTGGTCACACGAGGTCCCTGGGAGGCTCAGGTGCTTCCTTTGTTTGTGCCTGTTTCTGTTGTGGCCCAAGACACAATCCTGATAACTGGAGAGTGTTTCTGTATTCGCACTTCAGAGCCATTTTCTCGGCTTTAACTATGAGTCACAGAGCAAGTTAGCTGCCAGTAGAAGAGGAAAATGGACAAAATGTTTCTCTCTTTCCTTTGCAGACCATGTCGCTTTACGGCATCCCCGCACTGGCTCCGTGATGATCGAAGCAATGGCTGAAGTCTTTAAACAGCATGGAAACAGGTGGCACATTGCTGACTTTTTCACCAGAGTAAGTAAATTCCTAGTGAACATGTGCTCCATTCACTCTGAAGCTAATGCACTTGATGAGAACGTTTTCCTGAGAAGATTGACTTTTAGCCGTGAAAACATGAGACATACTGGAAAGTTGCTTGAAAACAATGGGCTGGTGGTGAGTTTCGAGGCAGCACTGTTGAGAAGACCTGGCTGAGCCAGATGCTGAGGAGAACTGATAGGGACACTTTCTAATCATTGGTAATACGAGTGAGTGGGATATTAGGTGAGCTTGGAATTTCCCGCCTGCCCTGTGGTCCTGCCCTGCGGTCCTGCCCTTGAAGTCGGCTTCAGCCTGACTCAGGTCCCCCGGGAGAGGGGACCACAGAGGCCTTCTTTAAGGACTAACACTAGCTCTCGTTTGTCCTCCCAGCTCGTAGCCCATAGTAGATGTTCACGGAATGAATGAGTAGCCAAGAATTGCAGCAGATTTATACATAAACAGTAGTTTGGTGGATGGCCCAATTACAGTCGTCTGTCATATCAGGATTGAAGAGTAATCTTCTTCTTAATCTGGGAGTTTTATACCCAAAGAGGGCTAAATTTAGAAAAGGTGGTACATGAGCACAGTACCATCCATACTAACATTTACTGCGTTGCTCACTCTGTGCCAGTTCTGTTGTCTGCGCTTCAAAGATATTTATCCGTTTATCCATGTAAGCCTTCCGACAACCTCAGGGAGGTCCTGGGATTCGCATCCACTCTTACACATGGAGAGCTAGTTAGTGACAGAGTTGGCATTCTAGCCCAGGCAGAGGGCTTCTAGAGTTTGTCCTTAACCACAGTTATATATTAATTACTCCTCACCTCCCCCAGGTATGGTAACTATTGTTATTTCTTTCAAAAAAACATTTAATGTTAAGACTTTACATATGATGCTTAACACCTTTCAAAACTCAATTGAGATAAGCTCGTGGGGGAAAGGTTGAGGGACTACAGACTGTTTTGACAGTTGTCCCAACCACATTCCCAAATATATTGCTCAATTTCTCTTTTTAAGAAAATAGTTTCTTGTTAGCCTCTCAGGAATACATAATAGCAAAGATTTAACCAACTGTAAATAGAAATCCATTTTAGTTAACGCTAACTGAAAAATTGGTTGGCTTACCAATGTTCAGTAAGTCTTTATTGAACATCTTTCTTTTTCTTTCTTTTTTTCCTTTTTGGTGAGGAAGATTGGCCCTGAGCTAATATCTGTTGCTCATCTTCCTCTTTTTGCCTGAGGAAGATTGACCTTGAGCTAACATCTGTGCTAGTCGTCCTCTGTTTTGTATGTGGGATGCCACCACAGCATGGCCTGATCAGCCATGTGTAGGTCCGAGCCTGGGATCCAAACCCATGAACCCCAGGCCACCGAAGAGCAGCATGCAAACTTAACCACTACACCACTGGGCCAGCCCCTGGTTCACTTCATTTTTAAAGTGCCAGCTGAGTAGATGCTGGCAAGAAAGCCCAAAAATGAGCATGGTGTGGCCTTTGCGTTAAAGGCACTTACAACATAGTGATGAACTTACAACCAACCCTGGAATTGTACAGCTGTTGGATACTTTGACATAACATCCATCCCCTTCATTTTACCAGGAGTTACCAAGGCTCAGGAGAGGTTAATATCTTGCCTGATATTACCCAGGGTCAAGTTGAACCTGAACCCAGGTCTGTGGACTCCTGAGTCCAGTGCTCTTTCCATCCCATGGCACTGCGTTCCAAGCACTTGGTGGGACGTGGACGGTGTTGGCGTGGTTTTCCCGATGCCGTCGTGTAACTCTGCCATCTCGTTCTGTGGGGTTTACTGGAAGGCTGTCGCTCAGGGCCTCACATTATCTTTTCACGCTTTTTCAACAGTTTGTGCTTTTATCTTTCAGGTGAATAACAGAGTGGTGCACACTGAATTTCATCTACGTGAGGAACCAATAAAAGTATCACTTGTAATGGAATCAACTTTAACTAAATCGGTGTACTTTTGACATCAGGAAGATTTCGAAAATGACTGCATTATAACAGACTGTAAAGAGCCGTGGGCGTTTGACCTCTAGTACGAATGGTTATCGTTTTGAATTATGACTGTCACCAGTACTTCTCCATTTTGTTTTTTATATATATGTTACTTTTGTAAGGTTTAACTGTGCTTATTTGATACTTGTAAATAATTTGACTTTTTTTTTTTAAAAGATCACTGTTTTCTGACAAATGTTTTTCCTGAACTGTTACCCAAACATGGAAGTCCAGGTCTCTGTGTACTGTTTTTATCATGTGCTTCTCTTGCCTATTACACCCACCTTCTCCATGCTCAATCTAGTGCTGGTGGGAAGCCTCATTTTCTGGGCTTAGTGGTCAAGACCTGCCCTTATGTGGTCTTGTCATCTTATTTCCCCCACACTGTCTTCTGCAGCCAGACTGATCCCCTTTTTGACCCCGTAAGCCGTTCTCAAGTGTGACCTGGGTGTCTCTGCCTGCACTTTGTGCCCTTGATGCCTTCCACCAGTTCCCCTGCTTCCTCCCTGCTGCCTCAGACCTTTGAACTGCTGTTTTCTCTGCCTGGAACACGGTTCCATCCCATGTAGGTGAGTCCTTTCCATCCTTCAGAGTTTGGTTCAAACATCATTCGCACAGGATAGCTTTCCATAACCCCTCACGCTAGGTCAGCTCTTTCTAAGTGCTCAGAGACCCTATGCTTTTCTTATGTAGCATTTAAATGTGTCGTGGCTGGTTTTGTTTTTGTTGCTTTTTGTGTGTGTGAGGAAGATTGACCCTGAACTAATGTCCGCTGCCAATCTTTCCTCTCCTTTTCTTGCTTGAGGAAGATTGTTGCTGAGCTAACATCTGTGCCAGTCTTCCTCTGTTTTACGTGGGATCCCACCAGTGTGGCTTGACGAGCAGTGCTAGGTCTGCGCGCAGGATCCGAACCTGCAAACCTCGGCCCGCTAAAGCAGAGGGTGTGAACTTAACCACTACACCCCCAGGCTGGCCCCAAGTGTCGTGGCTGTTTAATATCTCTCTCCAATTCAGTCGTAAGCTTCAAGAGGCAGAGGCCATGTGTCTCGTTTATTGCCGTATCCGAGCTTCCGTCTGTCCCTTAAGACACAGAGAAGCCGTGCAATGGATGTCTAGTGAATGACTGATCCCTGTCTTTTAAGCATTTTATCCATTCCTCAGACCTCGCCTCATTACCTCTCTGCATGTCTAGCCAACTGCTGGTCATCCCCACCTACTTGGATGTCCCATGGCTGCTTTAACGCAACAAGTTGGCAGTTAACCTAAGTTTCCCCTGTATCTCTTTGTAAAACCCATCCCATTATTAATGTTCCTTTGACTGCCCGCTGCCTGCAAAATATACCCAAAATTCCCTTAGGATATTCCAAGTCCTCCTCTCAGGCCTTAACCTACACTATCTGTGCATTGCCTGTTTGTCCTCCGTCTGGGCCACACCAGGCAATTCCCCCTTCCTTCAATGACCTTTTCTCCCAGAATCGGGCTTGTGGATGAATGAATGTTGAATGAACACTCTTGGATATGTTATCATTTCGTGTTCACTCTCTCTTTTCTGCCTGAAATGCCCTTTTTTCTCACTGTGTGCTTCCTCTATGCCATGCGTTGTTTAGGGCACCACTTGGGTCCCATCCCACTGTAAAGAAAGCCTGTCTGTAGACCACTGTGTTTAGAGTGACAGACTGTGGACTGAGCATGAGTTTTAACTGTAACCGTGTTCTGACTTTCTGTGTAACTCTGAACTGGGTTTGGACCTCACTTTCCCCATCTATATACAAGGAGATTTGGCTCAGCTGACTCTGAGACCTCATCCTGCTGGACTTCAGTGAACTTCTTGGTGAACTTGCTCATGAACATCCTGCGGATGGGGCTGTTCCTGAGCCCAGCGGTTCAAGCTGGCAGTCGCTTAAGACTGTTGGGCAGGGGTTGGGTGAGAACGCTCTGAAGATTGAGGGCCAAATTGACTGAAGCAACCCAGACTCTCCAGGCCTGTCTCCATTTCAGGGATAATTGTGTCCTTTTTAGTTAATGTGATTTTTTAAGTATATATACATGTGATTTAATTTTTAAACCTTTGACGTCAGATATTTGACATGTCACTTTTTTTTTTATAAAGTATTAAAATGTCTCCTTGGTTTATAAAATATGAACACCGGGTGAGCCTTTCTCTATTCCCTCGCATCCTAGGATTTCCAGGTACAGGGGCTCGTTTCAGGGGAGCAGCAGCAGCTGAAATATCAATAGCGCCTCTTTCCTGGGAGAGGTCAAGTGACTTAACTCAGAGAAACAGTCAGCGTGTGGTGAAGCTGGGATTCCAGTACATGAACTAATACGAGACACAAAGGCCCAAGCGATGGAGAAAAGCTGTAGGATGGAATGCTTTCAGTGGACAGAAGGGACCAGAGTATTTAACTGAGAGAATGAGAGCTTTGGGACAAAGGAGGGAAAAGTGATTTGGGAACATTGTTCAGGCCACTACAGGTATGGTTGGTGGACGGTCCTCTAAGACAACCAGATCCCAGACAAACAGGTGAAGATGAGCAAAGAGGAGGCCTTAGAAAGGGACGGGGGAAGGGACCCGAGATGAACTTGATGCCTGGGGCCAGCTCGGTGCCCATATTTTCTTAGCTTCAAATCAGGATAGGGGCACTGCTAGCCACCAATGCCGTGTGAAGTATAGCCCAAAAAAATCTGCAGTCCCTAGCACAGTTTTATACTTGAAAACAATTTTTTTCTTTCATAATTGAGATTTTATTGGTTTTTTTGAGGATCAATACACAGACATTTCAATCTGAAATGTACACAATTCTGAACATATACCAAACATCTAAAAAATCATGTGATTCTTTTCTAAATGGTTATTCCAGTGACTTTCCAGTTTAAAGGTGGGAGGCAAATTTCCCTTAACAGGCTATCAAATACCATTATCTTCAAATGTTAACGCCTGTTACATCATAAGTCCTACTAATTCACAATTTAATATATACACCACATACTGAAATTTTCAGTCTTTCACAGCACATTAACAAAGCTACTAGGAAAACTGGACTTCCGCAACCAAAGATGTTATAGAGGGCACAAAATCCTGACAGGGAGAGTCAAGATCAAGGACTGGTTTTCTTTAGGAAACACTTCTACCAAAAATAACATGGGAATGGAAGTAATTTAAAACGTTCAAGACATATTAAATGCACAACTGACTCCAAATTGCCATTTAGTATGCTTTGTATCATAGGCTGTAAAAACTGCCCCTATCTGTGGAATGTTAAGCTGAGCCCAAGAAGACTAAAGTCTCCCTATTCAGTATCCTTGCTATTTTCTGGTTGTACCAAAAAACCAAGTGATTTCACTTCTTAAAAGAAGCGTTTACACTTAAAAAATGGGATGAGGCACGGTTCCCTCCTTAAAAATGTTTCTAGAGCTACTAAAACACTTGGCGTTTACAAAATAGTTGATAAGAATACAAGGGAGACGGCATCACTGATAAGACATGGTGCGTGATATTGGTCAGACTTGGCTTCTTTCCTGCCCGTCAGAGTCTCGGTTTTCTGCAGGGAAGTCTTCTTTAGGCTCTGGTTAGTCACTCCGGCCTGTTTTCCTTTTGCCCCCCTTTTCCCCTTTGGTTTGCACATTTTTGTCTGAAGATTTATCCTTCCCCACGGCCTTTTTCGGACTCCTTTTTGGGTTTCGTTTTCACTTTTGCAGGAGCAGGTTTAGCTGACAACCTTGCCATCTCCTGGGTTCCTCCTCCGTGCCCTCCACGGAGCTGACCCTCCTCTTGGGCATCTTGGTGGCGGGGCGGGCGCCTGCCGGGTGCCTTCGCGAAGCTAGGCTGCCGCCCCTTCCACCGCCCCGAGCTGCTGGGACCCGCCAAAAAAAAATTTTTTTAAGGCCAGTTTTTATTTTTTAAATACAAATCCCAAAAACCAAAGTTGGCAAAAGGAAGGCTCTGAGATGTTTATCAAAAATGGGCATGAGTAAAAAATGGTGGAGAAATTTCTGGTGCAGAGGACCCAGAGGCTGAGAGGTGGGGAGGAGGACACCTGGCTGGGCGGCCAACACCTTTCTTTGACAAGTGCCTCTTAGGCCAAGGACTTCTCACTGTGGTTTACTACCACTACTGTATTTTCATCTTTGGACTTTTCTCAACTCATTTCCTCACCAAAAATTTTCATCATGCAGATCAGTTCTCAAGGACAAAGTTATTTTGTGGAGAAACAAATACCTAAGAATAATTACAATTTCCTAGTTTTTTTAGTGGACACATTCTTGAGACTCTCTTGTGCATAGGGGAGGGAGCTGCTGAGATGGTGTGGGAGTGTCCTAGAAGGCCCACCAGACAAGTCCTGCAGTGACAGAAAAGCCAGCCATTCAGTTTTCATATAGTGTGCTTTTTTTTTTGGTGAGGAAGATTGGCCCTGAGCTAACATCTGTGCCAGTCTTCCTCTATTTTGTATGTGGGATGCTGCCACAGCATGGCTTGATGAACGGCGTGTAGGTCTGCACCTGGGATCTGAACAGTCAACCCCAGGCCAGCAAGGCAGAAGCTCCAACTTAACCATTATGCCACTGGCCCCTCATATAGCCATATAGCTATTTTTAAGTCTTCTTTTTTCTTTTTTTTTTTTAAGAGCCAAAATGTCTCCAGATATTTTCAGCAGTTTCTAAGGATGTTGAAAGCCATGGCTAAGTTTACTCCTTCCCTTCTATGTCAGCTCTTCCTTTAAACACAGTGGGGTTTTGTTTCAATTTAAAAACAACCTGTGTTCCTCAGAACATTTACGAACAAATGAGGAAGAAAACCCCATCCAGTTTCTCTCTGTGTATATCAGTGCTTCTCACCCTTCGCTGCACATTAAAACTATCTAGAGAGCTATTCTTAAAAATCAGATGTGTTTTGGTTTGGGGTTGGGCAAGTTTAAAAGCTCTCCAAATGATTCTAAGTGTAGCCAGGGTTGAAACCTACCGTACAAGTAATCATTTGGCTATTGGCTATTTCTTTACAATCATTTTTTAACGGATAGGGCTTCAACTTTTTAAAAAATAACCACCCTCATCCTGCAACTCCGTTTTGTACCATAGATTATATTGTAATTACTTTTTAATGGTTGCATAGTATTGTACTGGACGGAATAAGTCTTTATTAACTAATCTCCTATCAATTGATAGGCAATTTTTCTTCTACCAGAAAAAAAAACCCGCGTGCATACCATCTGTGCATTCTTTTTAATTTTTTCAGGAACACTTCCTGTAAGTGAACCTTTTAAAATCTTTCATTATGTGCTGCTAAACTGTCCTCCAAAAAATGAGAATTTCTCCAGCTTTTGTTTACTAGACACCGGCTTGTGCTCAACACTCTTTCCCACACAGGAAACCGCAGCTTAGCTGTGGGACCCGCTCAGGCTCATAGATACAAAAGGCTGGGTAAGAACTCGAATCCCGATTGGCTGGCAGGCCTCAGGCCCGCGTCCTCGACTGGAATTGCAGCAGGAGGGGCCGAGACACCCGGAACATCGCTGGGGCGGAGAAAGCCCCCAACTTGCCAGCTGCCCAGCCCAAACCAACCGGAACCAGCCCCCACCTAGGCACCCTTTCCTGGCTCCCCGCGCCAGCGCCGCAAGCCCGCCTTCCGGAAAGAGAAGGCCCGCCCCCTCAGACTCCGCCCTTCCGCTAGGCTCTCGTTGTCATTGGCTGGCGGCGGAGTACATAAGGACGTCATTTCCGCCCGCCTGTCCTTTCCGCGCTGCCCGGCGAGGGGTCCATACGGCGTTGTTCTGGGTGAGCGTTCTGTAGGGTCCCGGTCGTCCCTCCGGGCCACCAGAACAAGCTTCCTTCTCAGCTGAGGTGTGCGAGGACTGGGGATGAAAGCCGGCAGACGCAGCGTGTCCGTCTCCGGCTCGGCGCGCTCCCCTCGGGTGCGGCGGCCGCACGTGGACGGGTTCGGGCGCGCGGGTTCCCACAAGGCCCTGGGGGTGGGGGTGGCGGACCGTGGATGGCGGGGCGCAGAAAGCAGGCCCGGCGCAGTGCGCTGCGATCGCGCCGGCCCTCGATCCTGAGCCCAGAGGCCCAGGCGCCAGTTTGTAGCAGCTCTTTGGCCTGGTCGGGTTTTCCCGTTGGCGTTGTTGCACTTGTTGCGTTCAGGAGTTAAGGTTCTTGGCAGGGTTTTGAGGAGAATTAATGACTGCAGGGAGAAGTAATGCAGAAGCGCCCACCTACAATCTGCTGGAAAATAAACCTGTTCCCATCTCCGCTATCTCTGCTCAACCCTTGCGTATTCTCGAGCATGGCTGCTCTTTCACAGCTGGTTGTTAATTTCGGTCATCGATAACTTATACTTAACTCCTGGGTAACTTGAGAAGGGTTAAGTCTCAATTTACTGTTTTTGATTAGTTTCATTATCTGAGTGTTGCACCCACCTCCACACCCACTCTTCGCTCAGCAAGATTCGCTGTGATGTGTGGCATATGTCTGTCAGTGGGTTTCTGCCCACTAAACTGGAAGCTCAGTGCCCGACACCGTAGGAAGGGTAGTCCACGGTTGCATTTAAATATGAAGTTACTTGGCTCTCAAGAGTGGTTAGAATGCACCTGTTCCCCTGCCCGACTTAATCACTGGAATGAAAAGGACAAGATTTGTAACAATCGTTTTCAGGTTCCCGTCGTAACTTAAAAGGGAAGCTTTCACAATGTCCGGAGCCCTTGACGTCCTGCAAATGAAGGAGGAGGATGTCCTCAAATTCCTTGCAGCAGGAACCCACTTAGGTGGCACCAACCTTGACTTCCAGATGGAACAGTACATCTACAAAAGGAAAAGTGATGGTCAGTCATTGCTGTAATTTTTTTTTTTACATGCCAGCTTTATAAGTTTGATCCTGCTATTCTGATGGGTAGTGCTGCATGAAGTAATTTTCTAACATCTGGCTTGAAGGACTCTACTAAGTAACAAATGAAACCAAATCTCTAGATTGGACACAAGCTTTAAAACTAAATAAAAGTGTTCTGGTTGTTTTTGGAAGGAGTTTTCTGGGCTCCAGTGGAAGAGTATGGCAGTTGCTAGGTTGAGTCCTGAAGGAGGTGTGAGATGTGAAGATGATGAGGAAGCTCATTAGCTGAGTTCTAGTAACTTATCCCCCACAGTGTCTGTCTCATAGGTTCTGATACTGGTGGTTCAACTGAATTCTGAGAAGAAAGTCTAGAGCAGTAGTGGGAATTCACAGTTTGGCTGGGGGCGGGGGGTAGGTTGTGACAAGGCACTAGTTGGGTAAGGCAGTTTTTCAGCTTAGAGATAGAGCTGCTGTGGAGGATTTCAGCCTGGGGGAGGCAAGCTGTAAAGGAGTTTGGGGGGTGAATCTCATCTCAAAACAGAAGGTAAGAGGAAAGAGCGGTAAGAGACCAGCAAGTGGGTAAGAAGTTGTAGGAATCCAAATGGGGGCCTGACCAGGGTTAGTACAGGGGGAGAGAAAGGAGAAAGATGCACTTTGCCTACTGAATCAGCTGCACACTGTTAAAGCTCAGGGTGGAGGCCAGTCTTGGCCAGTGAACTTCTGAGTGTCGGAAGTGTGCTATATTAAGGGCAGGATTTTCGCTAACACCAGTAGAGCTTGCCTCTATGACTGGAGTTTGATAGTACTCGCTGCCACATACATTCGACTTTTTAGGTAGTTTTCCATTTGCAAAGCTTGGTCGGGTGATAAAAAGCCTTGTGCTCTCATCTAGGCATCTACATCATAAATTTGAAGAGAACCTGGGAGAAGCTGCTGCTGGCAGCTCGTGCCATTGTTGCCATTGAAAACCCAGCTGACGTCAGTGTCATATCCTCCAGGAATACTGGCCAGGTTTGTGGAACAATATGCTTGGTTTTTATTTTAAGAACGATAAAGGTTATAGATGTTTTGGGATGTATATAAAACCATAAGAAAATAAAAACCCATAGTTTTGCTGTTCAGACATCATTTTAAATTGACCTGAGCTGTAGGAGTTGCCAGTGTTTGACATTTCAACATACGTACCACTTGGCATTTGGCAATATGTTAAAGTTTATGTTTTCATGTCATCGTGTATTTTCTTGTGCCACTAAATATTGAGAGATGACCCTACTAAAGTGGCTCATCACATCTTTCTGTAGTCAAATTTTGTATGTTTAAAATGATGAAATGGTAAAATAAAAAATTTTGATGTTAACTGCAGCATTTTTTAGAAAGCTTTTCTAAGTAGGGTACCAGTGCTTATCTCATAAGCAAGAGTGAGAATTTTTGCCTGCTTAAAGAAAGGAAAAACAGCTTAATTTTTTTTAATGGCCAATGAAGTAAAATTTTAGTAGTGTTTTTACCCTGTTTCTATTTTGATAATTCTTTTCCTTTGTTCATTTTTCTATTGAGAAAGGAAATAGATTTCTTGCGAGTTGATTTTGTAAGAGCTCTAACAATGACTTCACCCCATTTCTAATTTTTAAAAAGATTTGGCTTGGATTTTGACAGATTTTTAAATTGTGTAGTAAGGTGGTCCTTTTGTATTTTGTTGTTTAGTTGGCAGTTCCCATGAACTTAAGATGTGTTTCACAGGGGGTTATTCCCCAGAGGCTGGCTTGTGACCTGACCCCTAGTGTGGTGCATGGTAGAAGGCGGTTGTAATGCTGTTGTAGAATGAGCTTAGTGACCACTCTAAATGCTTTCTTCTGTACAAGTTGACTGAGGATCTAGATTGGTCCAGACACCGTTTCTGAGGGCTTGGGATATAGTAGAAAAACAGTAAGAGCCTTTTTGAAGGGATGCAGGAAATACTGAGCTCTATAGAGGAAGAAAGTGGCAGGGTAAAGAAAGCTGGATGTATTCCTGCTTTGTAATAGGGTGGCTGTGATGAAATTTGGCCAGAAGCTGGAAGTGCTTCCTGGGTGCCAGGCACTGTTGAGTGTTCTGTTGATTCATTTAATATTCATAACCTTCTGAGGAACTTGGAGACATGTAACTTGCCCAAGTCACTCACAAAGTGGCCTAGATGGTACTTGAAACCAGGCAGATTGGCTCTGGAGCCTCCAGCAGTGAGGAAGCCAGTGAGCCACAACATTTGAGGGGAGTGGGAGTGGGGAGAGCATTCCACGCAGAGGGCCTGCGGCTTGGGGGCGTGCTTAGCATGTTTCCTAGCCCTGGTGTTGTAGGTACTTTGCAGGTACCATGAAGGTATTGAAGAATTACTGGATGTTTTAAGTGTTTGATGTTTTCCTTTCTGAGGAGGGGGGTGTTTGGGCATCCAACTAGATAGGCTGCCTCGTGTGGTCACAGAACTGGGTGTTGGCACATGTACACTTGGACAGTTCCTATGACTCTCTGGAGTACTGCTAACTCTTAATGTTAATTCTTCAAGCGAGCTGTGCTGAAGTTTGCTGCTGCCACTGGAGCCACTCCTATTGCTGGCCGCTTCACTCCTGGAACCTTCACTAACCAGATCCAGGCAGCCTTCCGGGAACCGAGACTTCTGGTGGTAACTGATCCCAGGGCTGACCACCAGCCTCTCACAGAGGCGTCTTATGTTAACCTGCCTACCATTGCTCTGTGTAACACGGACTCTCCCCTGCGCTATGTGGACATCGCCATCCCATGCAACAATAAGGTAACAACTTTACCGTTGAATTCTAGAGGTTGAGAATGCGTACTCTAGAAATAAGTGGACACTTCTTCTGCACATTGTTAGAGCTTGGAGTTGAGGCTGCTGGCTGGCCGATGAACTCACAAGTGTAGGTAGTGTGCTACATGAGGGGCAAGTTTTTCGCTAACACCACAAGGGTCTCTGGCCCAATGAGTGGAGTTTGATAGTAATTCTTGCTACAAGTATAATTTTAATGTATAAGAGCTTTAAGGAGAGGGAAAAACATTTGAAAAATGGCCTGTTTTTTGCTTTTCTCCATAATTGTTCTACTTGGGCCTCTCGGGCTTTATGCACTTGGACTTTCTGTTTTCAGACCAACTTGACGAATCCTGCTATAAGATCCTAAAAAGGTGGGTTGCATGTGGTTCATTTTGGTCTGGTTTATCACTCATCTCAAAACCCTGGTTCTCCATAAGAATCGGCCAGAGAGGTTCTTTTTGGGCCAGGCACTGATCCCAGGGATTTCATTTCGTTGCCTGGATGGAGTCTTGACAGTAGTATTTTGTTAAATCCCCATGATTCCAATGTGTAATCAAGACTGAAGACCACTGATTTATGGAATAGTCTGTTATAAACAGTTTCAAACTAAGAAATGTGTCTATTCTTCCTAGTACCAACAGCTTAGACGATGTAGGGGGAGGAGCTTGCTACTTGGGGTGGACTATCACTTTTTAATAACCTGGCACTCTTGCAGGGAGCTCACTCTGTGGGTCTGATGTGGTGGATGCTTGCCCGGGAAGTTCTGCGCATGCGGGGTACCATCTCCCGTGAACACCCATGGGAGGTCATGCCTGATCTCTACTTCTACAGAGATCCTGAAGAGGTAAGCTTCCTCTATGAATGCTTGTCCCATAAACACGTTGGACACCTTGATCTGTGCTTCTTGGAGGTAAAGTTTGTCCCTATGTATTTTTTCCTTTTTCCTAACCAGATTGAAAAGGAAGAGCAGGCTGCTGCTGAAAAGGCTGTGACCAAGGAGGAATTTCAGGGTGAATGGACTGCTCCTGCTCCTGAGTTCACTGCTACTCAGCCTGAGGTTGCAGACTGGTCTGAAGGCGTGCAGGTGCCCTCTGTGCCTATTCAGCAGTTCCCTACTGGTATGTACCATGATGCTGGTGCATCGAGCTGGCGGCTTGGCACTTGGATGTTTCAAATCTAATGTTAATTCTCCATGGCTGTATATACTAGCATTAGAAAGTTTCGTCCCAGTGTGCTGTCGCTGTGGTAATAGCTTTTGACAGGCTGAATTCAGGTGCTGTTGAAATGGTCTGCCCTTTGAAATGTGTGTCTGATGAGTGCAAGGCAGATTGCTTGTGGGCGTGGGGTGACAAGTACTTTGGGAATGGAGCTGATGGTTTTTTGTATTTTCTTAACAGAAGACTGGAGTGCTCAGCCTGCCACTGAAGACTGGTCTGCAGCTCCCACTGCTCAGGCCACTGAGTGGGTAGGAACAACCACTGAGTGGTCTTAAGCTGTTCTTCTACAAACTCGGAAAATGGAAATAAGGTTGACGGAAAATAAACAAGTTTCTAAAAGTTGTGTCCATTTATTTCAGTTTTTTAATTCCAGATCAAGATGCCTAAGCTCACTTTAGGTCTTTTGACATCAGTTTTACTTCTGAAGCCCACTGTGGATAAAGTATATTGCATTTTACTTGGGAGTTTTCCTGAGCTTTTTGGGGGACTATCTGTGTTTTGAAAATAGATGTAAACAATTGCACGTACATAGGGTAACCTTGGAATGTTTTTCCAAGGTCCTGATAATCTTTTATTGTCATCTGCATTGACAGCGAATTCTATAGAGCCCAGATTTTAAAGTAAATTGGCATTGAGTGACAGTCCTACTGTTTGCCACTTATGTGGCCAATGCATTGAGTAATATCTGGCATTTGCAGACCCACCTTGGGCAAAAGAGGGATGAAGTCTTATTCTGGAACCCCGGAGGGGCCACGGCCTTCTCTAGCCTTAAGAGACACCTATTGCTCGGTCAGCTTGCCCATAGGTTCTGGGAGCAGGTTGAAGGAGTGTATAAAAATTTCATGTAAAAGTACATAATGCTGTCCATTCTGCCATTTTCTGTGCGTTTCAGTTCTATTGAAAATGCTAATGGCTCCCTCCTTAACTGATTGCACAGTAACCTAATGCTTTTTTTAATGTAATGCACAGTAATGCTTTTTGGAAAACATTCTTAGATGAATAAGAGAATGGAGAAATTAAACAGGGTGGATCCAGGTTTTGAGGATCCTGAGTGATTTACATTGGTTCATGCATTGTCCCCTTGGGGAACTGAGAAAATATGTGACCACATTTCCCCCTGCTGTTGAGGCAGTGAGGGGACCCCACAGCTCAAGCTCACAGTTAAGTCTGCCACTGGCTCTGCAGGAGCAAGTTTGGGCGAGTCTACCACCCCCTGTGAATCCAGTGTGCAGGAGACCAACCCACGGCGTTACCCCGTGCCGCAAGTGGTGACACCTGGAGTCAGGATGGCTGTGAGCAGGGAGAGGGAGCCTGGGTGGCATTGGAGGTTGTGGGCTGGAGTGTAGGGACTGAGGGGTAAAGCTCATTTGTTAGCAAATTCTAGGGTGGAGGAGGCAGAACAGGAAAACTGGTATTTCCACCCATGTTGTAGAACGTATATCCTGTCAGATTGACTTCATCTGGCAACTGCTGACCCCTCCAGGACTGCCCAACCCACCTTGTTCCCACACCTCAAATCTGCTCCCTGTCCCCAAGTCCGGTGTTCTAGCGCCCAGTGTTTCCAACCTAGAGACCTACGTTCCTCTTGCCCCTTGTTTTGGCACCTGCTGCCTTGTGTTACCACAATAGTTTCACAATTTTTTTTCTTTCTAGAATCTAAGTTCCTAACTTTAGGAGTTAAAGAGACATGTCCTCTGGCAGGGTTGGTTTATGCTTACCATAGTGGAAGCCAGGAGTATCCTAGATGGAATTTCTTGCAGATCCACTCTCTGCTCACCTGGGGTTTAACTTGCCTCATACCTTCTTCACACCCTCCCTGAGAATTAGATCTTGTTCCTCGTGTCAACAGCTGCTGAAATTCTGCCCCAACCTAGGACCACAAAATGGCCCAGACCTGAGGTCACCCTACTCTGGTCCCCAGTAGCTGCCCCATGGCTGCAGCTGGTGTTCTGAGCTAGCATGAACCAGAATAGGCATCTTACCCTAGCTCATCCAAACCTAGTTTTCTCATGGGCCCTGTGGTGCCTACCTGATGTGGGGTCCATAAGCACTGCTGAATCTGAGTGATAAATTAATCCCCACCTCTAGCTGTGTTCACCCAGCAAGCTGCCACTGGAGACTTACCCCTTTCGGTGTCAGCAGCCTTGAGTCTTCCCCAGCACTGCTGTGGGCTGTTCCCTGGCATGAGGCCACTGCTAACGGGAGAGAGTAGCCCGCTGTCTCTCCCTCCCTGGCGCTGCACTGAATTTGCCTGAGTGAGCCTCCTCCCTTCTTTTCCCCAGCACCTCTCTGTCCACACCGGGGCAGTTTTACTGGAAATAGTAACTTGTTCAGTTCCCGTGTCCTGCCTGATCTCAGAAACGGCTTGCTGTAAATAATACAAGGCTTAAGGTTTTGTTTTTCTTTATTGTGGAAAGAACACTTAACCTGAGATCTACCCTCTAGCTTAAGATTTTACATGTTCCTATCACAGCTCTGAACTCCTGATGCACTTCTTGGGGCTTTGTCTCCTAAGCTTAGAGAAAATCCCATACAGAACTTTGTAGAGTACTCCGTTTCTTCTGTTTCTTAAGTACCTCAGGGGCTTCTTCCGCAGGACTCTGGACAACAAGCACGCATTTTCCTAATACATCCTAAATACAAGGACAAATCAGTATCCCCAGTGAATTCAGCCTAACACAGTACCTGGTAGACAACAGTAAGTACTTTTCTAAGTGAACAGAGAAAGTGGTTAAGAATAAATCTTAGAGACTTAAGCATTTAAGAAAGAGCTAGACAGGTAAATCCCATTTGGCATGCCTGAGGCTCCCAATGAGACTCAAGGTACACACTCTTGCACGTTGCTCATGGGCACATAGCTCGCTACACGGGGAGCTGTGTCACCTGCTTTAAACCTCACCTGGGTGTTATCTCATCCCCTACTTCAAAGCCGCAGGCTCACTCAGTGTTTAGAGAATGTGCTGCACTTCCTGAGGTCAGCTTGGGTTGTGGTCTCCTGGGGAGTGGGTGGGTGAGACTGGGTCTGGTCTGGGCCATGATTCAGCACCAAGGACGCCCTCACATACCCAAGTATCCGTGAGGGGACCCTGGCCATTGTATTACTATCAACATCATGTGCTGCGTAGTGAGGCAGATAGGAGTGTGGGCTTTGGAATCAGGACATGCCTGGAATGATGAAAGCTCTGCTGAGCCGAGTCCTAGTGTGTGGTTCTGGGCAAGAAATGATGATTCCGGGCCTGAGTGACCTCACCATCAAATGGGGATAATCATGGGGTTGTGATTCAGAGATTGTGCACAGTAACTAGTCTGAGTCTGGGCATGTAGCAAACGCTCATTCTATCTATCACATTGTCCTTCTGTAAGTATATAATTTAAAAATAATTTTTAATTGTAAAATGTATCATGCATGCAGATTATTATAAAAGACATATCTGTATATTCTGGAATAAGAGTGTGTAACCATTATGTGGGTTATGAAATAGGGGCCAGGACCTGAGAACATCTCCACGTGCCCCTCCTTGTGCCTTCCTCCCTGAAGTCACAGAGCTCCTGTTCCCGCCAGCCCTTGGGTGACTTGATCGTTTTACCTAATTATGCCCTTTTCAATCAAGAATTGTTTGGTTTTCCTGTTTGTTTTTGAGCTTCCTATAAGTGGATCATAGCATATCTTCCTGTGTGACTTGCTTCTTTCCTTCAGTGTTGTTTTTGTGCTTTTCATCCTTGGTCGCCATGCTCCTGTAGAGTCGGCCGTGACATCAGGGTACTGCAGTGGCCATTTGAGTTGTTTCCACATTCTGGCCGTTATCAACAGAGCTACTTTGAACATTTTTGTGAGATCGTGATGCACAGGAATTTCCCCACTGACTTCACCAGATAACATCAGATGGTTTCACTATCATATATAAAATCCTGTGAAAACACAGCCATAAACCTTAGCATTTTCTATTGAAAACACTGTCCTTTCTTCACTGCACAGAACTGTTGCCTCTCAAAAACCCAGGGTCCATCCATGCAGGGTCTTATTCTGGCCTCTATTCTCCCCCACTCTATGACTCTGTCCCTGGGCCAATGCCACACTGTCCTTCCTCTTTACTAGAATTCAATAATCTACTGCGGCAACAGGTAAGGGCAATCCTCTTGCCTTCCTTCTTTTCTCCAAGAGAGTCTTGGCTATTATTGATCCTTCTGAGTTGTCATATACATTTTTTAACCAGCTAGTACAGATCCAGCATAAAGCCAGTTGGGATTGCATTGTTTCTATAATTTAAAGCAATATTGACTGATTTACAATATTAAGTTTTCAATCCATGAACGATCTATATATCTTGTCAGTTTCTCATGTTTATGTCCCTCCCTCAATAAAATGTTGCAATCTTTTATAAAGATCATAATCTTTTAGTAAGTTTATGCCTAGATACTCAAGATATTTTAAATTGTACCCTTTTAAGAAACTACTCTTAGGAATCCTGTTGGAACAGCTCAACCCATATTCTAGATAACACAGATATCCACTGGTAAATGTCACTATTGCCATGGGGTTTCTGACCCTTCCCGAGCAGTCCAGACCTTTTGTGCAAGGCAGAGATGAGATTACTGAATTCCATCCATGAAAAGCCTGCTCCGAACATCCTTGCCAAACATTGTACTCATTTAGTAGAGCAGAACCTGCTGCACTTCTGCACATGCTCATTTCAGTGGGATTTACTTAGGAATGATCCAAAAATTACCCAATTCTACCTTTGCAAAGTATCTCAAGTAAAATAAGAATTCAACAGTCAGAAAATATTTATAAAGCACTTACTCTGGACCATACATTATTCTAAGCACTGGGGATACAGCAGTGAATGAAGACCAAGCTTGTAACCTTAGGGTAGTTACATTTTGAATGGGAAGCCAGGTAACTAAGAAGTTAACAAGTAAACCATTTTCTATAGGAACAGAAGTAAGGATTATGGGAACCCAAAAAAGGTCTAAAGCAAGAATCACAGGCATTAGGCTATAGAAAAGAGAGACAGATGGAGAGAATCATTGGAGAGAATCAAAAGAGAGCAAAGAAATGCCTCTGAAAGGAGGAGTCTCAGCCCAGCCTCATCAAGTGGAGCAAAGAGAGGTTCTACCCTCATGGGGACCTGGAAGCCTTTACCAGAAGCCACGGAGTCTCTTGGAGCCCATGCTGTGTGAAAGGTGTAGACCTCTACCACTCAATCCATGGAAAACACACCTAAGTTTTTCCTCTTTTCTCCTTTAGATATTTCTGGAAATGAGGAACAAGAGTAAAAGCTCTAACTGCACAGACATCTAACCCAGTTCTGTCCCCTGCTGTCCCCTCACTGAAAGACAATGGTCCAAGGAGTGCCCCCCCTCAGTTCGCACTGGTGTAAAGAGCACCCAATGTTGCGAGAAGTGTCCATCATCATGTCCCCACTGGAAAGCCCACCACCACCTCCATAGCCACTAACCTCTGCATTTCCTTCTATCCGATACCCTATCCCAACCCAAGGGTGTCTTCCATTTATGATTTGCAAGAGAAAGTTACCACCTTCCTCATGGGAAGATACTCTTCCAGACCATTATGGCCGTACACAGGACTGCACAGGGCCCTCACAGGCTTTCAAGCCTGAAGGAATGAATGGGTGGATTTGATGTTTGTTTTAAAATCCCTTATAGAGGATTCTTATTATATTAGTGTATATCATTTCACATAGATATAATTCTGTTAATTAAATTGTTTTTTAAAACACAATGTCTAATTATTAATACTTTTCGCAATTTAGAAATGAAAAATATCACAATTTAAAATACAATGGGAAGATTAAACAATAAGATAGTATTGGAGAGGAGTTTGGTGAACTAGAAAAATATATGAAGAAATTACAAGGAGAATAGAGACAGAGGAATAAACAAGAGGAAAGAGAAATTAAGATATACAGAGGGTAAAATGAGAAAGTCAAACATCCAGTTGGAGTTCCAAAGAGAGAGAAGAGAGAAAATGGGGAAAGTCAGCATGAAAGAGAAAAGGCTGAGAATTTTCTGAAATTCTCATCAATCTACAAATTCAGGAATCCCAATGTGTACCAAGTAGGACCAATTTATAATAACTTACTTCTTGGTTACATTGTTGAGGAATCATGGAAATGCCAAATACAAAAGTGTTCTTGAAAGGAGCTAGGAGAAAAAGAAGGACACCCAACTGTTCCCCATTAACAGTGACAGCTAGAAGACAGTAGAATGAGAAAAAAGAATAGTCAACCCAGCTCTGCTATCCAAGAATTAGGACAATATAAAGACTTTTCCAGAAAACAAGTTAACAAGGACAAAAAAAGTGATGCCAGAAGGAAGCTGTGGCCAAGATTGTTAGTGGTCCACCGATGTCCATCTTCCCTTTTTCCATAGTAATAGATCCCCTGAATTTCAGCTGGGCCCAGGTTGAAAAGCTGGCGCCTCACATTACATGGTGGTAAAATCTTCGGTTAGGTTTCGAGGCTTGCATTACTTTGGAGGGTAGACCACAATTTGACAAAATCTGTGGCATTAAGGAAATGGTAGGAAAGATCCAGAATGATGGCTTATGTAGACAATTTTTTTTTGACTGCTCTAAGTCCTATAAGAGACAGGAACTCTAGCTAAATCTAGCCAGCCTGCAAGCAGAAATGGAAGGATGCAGAGTTTTGCTAATACAGGCATGTTCTCTCTCTGCTCTGCCATATCCTCAGCAGAACACTTCTGTACAACCAAGTCAGGCAGCTATGAGCTATGCATCAGGAGGAGATAACACTGGTTCTTTGGGAAGATAGCATGCAGTCAGCAGAGATTAAGGTAAGATTAAAGGTAGTGTTTTCCATTACAAACTTACCATAAACAAGAAAAAAATCTGGCAAAATCAGATTATAGCAACAGGGCTTTGGAACAGGAATTCTCATACTAGCCAGTGGGAGTAGAAATTGGTACAGTTTGGTATTATGTAGTAATAGAAGCATCTGCAATATCCCTCTTGGGGGTACACATCAAAGAAACTCATGCACATTTGCACTAGGATATGTGAATTCTAATCAACAAACCTGGAAATGGCCCAGAGTCCATCTACAGCGCAGCTGGTAAACTGTCATCTGTTATAGCACAGAGAGCCAGGCAACAATGAAAACGAACAAGGCACAGCTACATGCAGTGACATGCATAAGTCTTAGACACTTACACTTTGAGCAAAAGAGGCGTGAACAAAAATCATTCCTAACATGTGATTCCATTTGTAAAAAGTTCAAAAACAAGCAAAAGTAAGCTATATTCTTTAGAGATGTATTCGTTGGTTCAAACATTATAGAAATCAAAATGTCTAATTTATGGGGTAAAACCAAGCAAAATAAAAGCATTCAACTAAATATATACAAAGAGCATAGGGGACATGTGGAAGACAATGTGTTTCAAGGTCTTTGTTAATGAAAGAGGTAAATACTGACTTTAGAATATAAGAACCTCTCTCATCCCACATGCTCATCTTACAACATGACCGTGCCACTACCCCATGGGTGCAATCTATGTCCCCTTCCTTTTAACCTGGGTGGAACTTTGTGACCCCCTCAACTAACAAGGTGCAATGGAATTGTATGCTATGTGATTCCAAGGATAGAGCATAAAAGCACCACCCCCTTTTGTCTGGATCTCTTGGGACATTTGCTCTGGGACCTCAGCCATCCTCCAGTGAGGAAACCCAAGCAGCTGAGGAGAAGCCCACCGGAGAGGAAGCAAGGCCCCTCACGCCCAGGCCCCAGACCAGCTGAGCAGCCAGCCAGCAGCCAGCAGTAACCTGCCAGCCATGTGGGTGATCTGTATTGAAAGTGGATTGTCCAGTCTTGATTGGAGCCATCTCAGCTGATGCCATGTGGACCAGATGTGAGTGATTCCTGTCAGGCTCTGTCAAAATTGCATATTTGTGAGCAAAAGAAATGATTGTTGTTGTTTTAACCAACTTAGCTTTAGGAAAGTTTATAGGCAGAAAGTGATGTAAAATGAGAAAATTCTAGAGGCATTTTCACTAATGTCAGAAACAAGACATGGATGCCCACTATCACTGCTCCTTTACTATGTCATAGCAATGAACTTATCAGACAATGCTCCTAGGCAAGCGTAACTAATTGTATACACACCATACAGCCAATTGACTTTTCCCTGTAGAATTTATAATAAGCAGTTCTCTATATTACAGTTTTTGTACCTATTGCATATATTAGCTATATAATAAACTATTGACTACAAAATAGTTTACTGTCTATTTTCCTATTTTTAATATTTTACAAAATTTCTACTTTTATAAACATAGCTGTCATGAACATCCTTGTGGTTAACTGAATCAAATGGCAAGGACATTTTAAGGATTTAAGATAAAATCATTAAATTTTGCCAAATTGCATTTTTAGTAGCAACAAAATAGATTCCAGTTTTCAATTTATCATCACCCAAAACAATTAATTTTTCTTCATCTGATTAACGAAAAATTGCATTTCGGTGGTATTGTTTTTGCATTGCAGTTAGATAAAGAGCAACTGCTGACCTGCTCTGGTTTGAATGTCAAGGAAGAGGCTGCAAGGCTTGACTCCTCTGAAAGCATTCCCGTGCAATGGGAGTGGGTCTAGGTGGCATTAAGGTCCCCTCTGCCAGCAGCAATCTATGCATAAGATGATCAAATTAAAGCGGCAGAAAAATAAACTCTTACACATTGTATTTTACTATTCAACAATATTTGAAGAAAGCCACGTGCCCTGCACTCAGCTAGGAATAGGGGATCTGACAGAACTGAAAACATTCCCCTCCCTCCAGGAACTTACTCTGTGATTTGGAGAGAAGACAAGTCAAAAGGCATCCAAGGGCAGGGATATCTATGCCACTTTTTTTTTTCCTGTAAAAACAGCAGCTTTATAAGTTAAAAAAGAAAAAAAGATACAGTCCTTGAGAAAAAACCTTCTATTTTATATTTCAAAGAATTCATGTATTTCACCTTACCCGTGCCCATAATAGAGACTTCTCTCTAAAATAAACTGGGAAAATAGAGGAATGTATGGCTTGAATATATCTAAATTCATAGACCTAAGCAGGGCACCGGGCAGGTCACTGTCGGTCGTTCTGTTAACCACAGGAGGGCAGAGGCACTCTGCATGTCAAATGCTTCCTCACTAGCACTTTTCCAAACCCTGGTGAAGATTAGGGGTCAGGGTGGCACCTGTGCCTTCTCCACCGTCTGATGTCTGGTGCTCAGGGACCAGAACAGGAGAAGGTGCTTAAAACATGGTTTCTCACCTATTAACCTTTCACAAGGGCTGCACCAGGAGAAAGGTCAAAGGCTAGAGGAGGATGCGTCCTCATCCCTTTTTGTGACGAAGGATTCACAAAGAATTCCTTGGAGGCCCTTGCGTCTTAGTGATCAGCAGCCTGAGGGGCTGGGTATCGCAGAGGGCTGCTTCCGACTCCGATGGGCACTCACACGGAGAAGGCGCTGGTGGGAGACAATGGTCCTTGCTGGAGCTCTTTCCCCGAGGCTGGGAGGACGGCTGTCATCACCAGCGCAGGCCCTGAATACTCTACCCTTAGTGTGAAAAATCTCTGTGTTCTTGTCTTTTGCCTTAGACGCTTTCATTTTTCTCTAACTTTTTAGAACCCAAGCTACTACATTATTTACCATTGCACAAACCCCAAATACTTGCTACTGTATAAAATATCTACCATTGTTCAGGAAACCAGAAGCTTAAATTCAAGACTTAAAAATTTCAACAAGAATACCCAATTAAATTCTGTGCAAGGAACCTGGGGCATAATGTACACCTCCCAGACGAAGGGCTGCTTTTGCGAAACAACCTTGACAAATCTGATTGAGTTCTTGCTCTTGCCTTCTAAAGGCTCCCCTTGGGCAGCAGCCTGGACACTCCACCTGGGAGGTCAGGGCTTAGTACTGCTCTGGAACGCCTCTTGGGAACCCCCCAAAGCCCATAGCACAAAGGGCTTTGAAATATTTTCCAAGATGGGAGATCTTTATAAGAATGTGAACTGAATTTTTGATCATGCTGAAAGAAGTCTGGAATCAATGATGTGAAGAAAAGGCCAAAGTGCGTAACAGCATTTGAGGTGGAAAATGGAAACTGACTCTATAGGAATGAGACCAAGTTCTCATATGACTTCCAAGCTGGCTCCAAAGGAAATTTCCAGTGAGGGGTCCATGTTGTGATCACCTAAAGGGCAATATTCCTAAGTTCGGTTTCTAGTTTAAGGGCCAGTCATGAAATTTTACCCATATTTCCTACAACTTTGTTAACAGATTGGACCTGCTCTTGAAATGGCCAAGCAGCTCCTATCAGACATAATCTCCCAGAGATAACCACTAAAAACTCTGGGGAAAATACAAAAACTATTGCTGGAAGATAGTGAAGAAACAAAAAAAGTAAGTAGGTTCTGGAGAGGAATTGACCCCTTTAAGAAGAAAGTCACTAGGTGGGTTTCCCACCTTTTGCAGCTTTTTTTCTTTGGTTAACCTCAGTCCACCCCAAGCATGACAGCTAAAACCTGAATAGAATCCAGTGGTCCCCTAGCTTGAAGAATCAGCACTAGTTTGAGGCAACTGAATTAAAATCACCTGTAACCTCACAGGTACTCATTGGCAATTATCTCGAACGAAAGAAATGCATTTCCTATCCATGCCCTTATGCATACAAGGATGGTAATATGTACCTGAGATTGTTCAAGGACAAAGGACATCTTTGTGAAATGACTAAGCAAAGGGTGCAGCATGTGGCAGGCGTACAATCAATGTTTTCTTCCTTCTCAAGAAACAGGAATAACGCTCCCAGAGTTCAGATTTCACATCCCCAAATTCATCTTTCAGTCTCTTCTCTAAATTTAGATTGTCTAATAAAACTTAAAAGAAGGGCGTCTGTCCATGAATGACAGTCCCACAAATATTACTGAGCAGAGAATCTTCAAACACCAAAGAATTCTTAAGTCCAAGTCATTGCTAGAAAAGACAACATAGAGGGGTTAAGCAGAACAGAATCCCTTTTGAGGATACTTAACATTTGAAGGAAAAAGGAACTCGTAACCACTGAAGGAATAGACAGCAAAGGCTTCTTGCATCCAGAAACAGGCCTGGGATTGGTAGGACTAAGGCATTTTAGCCTTGGGCCACCCATGGAGGATTTAGGGCGGTCCCCAGTCCTGGCCACTTCACAATGAGGCCTTCATAATTCTATCTTCTTTGCTTACTTTTATGCATTAGTCTATTTTCACAGTGTGAGTTTAAGAAACTGCCTGGTCCCATCTCCGTGGTGGCTAAATCTGAGTGGTGAAGGGCACAGCCCAACCGTGTCTGTCAAGGCCTTTATCAGAAAAGCTTTTGGTAAAAGCAGACAAGACTGACAGATCCAAGCCTCACATGGAGAAACCCTACTCAGGGTTTGGGTTTTGGGGGTCAGGACATCTCAGGGCCCTCCCAGGCTCACATAATCCCTTTGTTCCAAGTCACTGAGGTCAGTCCTTGGTCCACAGTGTTCCAGCCATAAGCACACAGCCTGGGTGAGAACCTGGCTGGGCAGCTAGCAAGGCCTTTTGAGCACTCATCCTTAACTAGCACTAGGGAGAGCCCGTGTTAGGTACAAGCAGAGGCAGCAGCCTGGGCTGAGATCTCTCCTAGGCACTCACTTTCTGGAGGAGGGAGATGGCAAAGTAGAGGGTGGTAAGAAGGTTGACTTTATTCTCTTTAGGGCACAAATCCTGGGCTCTTTTTCTTGGAAAAGTGAGCTCAGGAGCACTGCAGAAAGGGAATTAATTGTAAAATTTATTTCCCCTTAGTTAACTCCTGAATGCAAAGTCAAACGTGGGAAGACCGCTTTCCAAGACCTCACCTTGATTCCTCCTGCAGCTTCATTTTCAGTGCTCAGAAGTCCTTGGGCTGAGAGGATCAACCCGAGAGAAGGCTGACCCTGTGAGTCAGCCCTGGAGTGGCTTGAACAGGGCAGTCACCCAAGGAGGGGAGGAGATGGGGAAACTGGGCTCCCCCAGCTCTCATCAGCACACTTTGTACTGATGGCTTCCAAATTCCTCAAGGTTATCTTCTTAGATCAACATCTGGATGGTGCCCAGGGACTGGGGCAAGTTAGGACACTGCAACAAGTGTGGATGAGGAAGGAGACACGTGTTAAAATGCGTCCAGGGCCAGCCCCGTGGCCGAGTGTTTAAGTTCGTGTGCTCTACTTCAGTGGCCCAGGGTTTTGCTGGTTCGCATCCTAGGTGCCGACACAGCACCGCTCATCAGGCCATGTTGAGGTGGCGTCCCACATGCCACAACTAGAAGGACTCACAACTAAAATATACAACTATGTACTGGGGGGATTTGGGAGAAAAAGCAGAAAAAAAAAAAAAGAAGATTGGCAACAGTTGTTAGCTCAGGGGCCAATCTTTAAAAAAACAAAACAAAACAAAAAAACGTGTCCATGAGACAGAGGGACTTGTCAAATTGAAGATTCTCATCCTGTACTCCCAAAGATTCCTGGCAGTGTCCCAAAGATTCCAGGACTCAGTATTTCTAAAAGGTTCTCCAGGTGATTCTGACACAGGGGGAAAAAAGTGGGGGAATCACTTCTTTAGAAACTCTAACAGGGCTCCTCCAGGCTTGGTGTCCAGAGCGACAAGGTCAGGATAGAGAGATGGGAAAGGGAGGGGGAGAACAAAGGAATTTGATCTAACGGCTTGAGTAGTATCTAAGTCATCTATCAGTATAAAGCCATCTACATCAAATCAACAACACTTATTTAGCTCAAGATTCCACTGGGTGATTCTTCTGGTCTGGGCCAGGCTCAGGTAACCTGGGATGGGTTTACTCACTTGTCTGGGGCCAAGTGGCAGGTGCGCTGGGAGATGGGCTGGAGGATCCCAGATGGCCTCTCTCTCAGCTGGGATCTCAGCTCAGTCTTTGGGGGTGCTGGGCCATGTCGTCTGTCAGAATAGCCAGGGTTTGCTTATATGGAGGCAGGTTTCCAGGAGCAGCAAGAAATTTTCGAGTTTCCTTTTGCATCGCCTTTCCTATGTCCCATCGGCCAAAAGAAGTCACCAGTCCAAGCCCAGGCTCAGGGTGGGAGGGTTCCCCAAGAGTATGGATACAGGAAGGCGTGAGCAAATGCAGGGGCCTCAGTGCACCCCATGGAGGAATGAGGAGACCAAAGGCAACTAATCATAAAATAAAAGTAAAAAGGAGGTTCCTGAGGTTGAGCAGGGCAGCCGGTCCAGGCCCTGACTTCAGGAGGAAAGAGGAGAACCGACAAAGGCCACCTGGCCCCCAGCTCCCTGGATGAGTGTTTGGAGAAAGCACAGCTGTCAGACCCTGAAGTCGGAGCCGTGCCCTGCCCCAGTCCTCCACAGCCTCTAAAACTGGAGCCTGTGCTCCAACAGGTCGGGAAACAGCCACAGGGAGGCGGGAAACTGTGTCCAGTCCAGGAGCCCGCGCTTGTCCCGCGGCTGCCGCGGCGAGGCGGCGGGCGCCTCCGGCCTCTGAGCAGACGCGGCCCCGGACTTGGGGGCGAGCCGAGCCCCCTGTGGGCCGGACTCTCCCGAGGACAGTCCAGCGGGCTCGGCCTCCTCCTGCACCCAGACACACTCCTTGCCGCGCGGGCGGCCCGAGGCAGGAGGGGACCCTGGGGCGCCCCGGCTCTCGCTCATCAGCCCGGGCCTCGGCCTCGCGCGGCTGCGGGCTCCGGGCTGGATTCCTCGCCCCTCAGGATCCAGGGCGCTGGTGGGCCGGTGTCCCCACGGCACCTGCTCCTGGGCGCCCACCTTCTGGTCCCCTTTGTTTCAGTCGACCCACCCTGGGTGCAGGCTTGGCCTCCCTCAGCGCTCCCGGCAGCTGTCTGCAGCTCCAACGGCCCCAGCCAGCCCCCAACGGCTCCCACCAATCTCCAATGGCCCCCGCCAGCCCCCAACGGCCCCAGCCGGCCCCCCGAGCTGCCCCCCAATCCCCAGCGACCCCCCACCAATCCCCAGCGGCCCCAGCCAGCCCCCAACGGTCCCCTCCAGTCACCAGCGGCCCCCCACCAAGTCCCAATGGCCCCAGCCAGTCCCCAAAGGCCCTGGACGACCCTGGATTGGGTCTTAACTTCCTCCCATCCTGGGGTGGGACGGCTCCCTAGAGGGAGCAGAGGTTAGGGGGGCCTGAAGGATGACTAGGTGCTGACAAGTGAAGAGCGTCTGCAGGGTGTTGTGGGCTGAGGGTAAGGAGGGTGCCATATCCTGCAGAGGCGCCTGGAGAAGGCAGTAACTTTGGGAGCTTCTCAGGTTATCCAGTGCGCGCTGGAGCTTAGAGCTGGAGGAGAGGATGGAGAGAGACAGTGCTGGGGAGGAAGACAGGAAGACTGGGGGAAGATCATGAGGCCTCCAGGACCAGAAGAAGAGGGTTCAAGGGTGCGATCAGATGTGTGCTGTAGAAGGAAGCTCTGGGGACAGTGGGGACAATGGAAAAAGTTCCCAGTCAAGCCTGGTGCAGAAAGCTGGCCAGGAGATTGCATGTGTGACCTAGATAGGAGGGAAGATGACCTGGGCTAGGGGATGGCCCTTAGGGTGAAGAATTGTAGACTTTATTTTAAAGCTACAAACAAGAACATGAGTCACAGACCAGTCATAGTGATGGGGGCAGGGCTGCGAAGAGAGTGGGTGAGGGATGAAGGAGGCAGAATTTAGTAGCTGGCTGGTGCCCCTGCCCTTGACTGAGACAGGGAGGCAGGAGCAAAGGAAGTCAGAGGTATGGCACGGAGAGGCGGATGCCCGGTCCAATTTGGGAAATGTTTAGTTTGAAAATGGAGATACTCTGGGCCCATCCAAGATTCACAGGGAAGAGGGGTCCAGTGTGTGGACCTGGGGATCAGAGATGGGCTGGAATTATCAACATAAATGTGAAGCCACGGGACTGGATAAGATCAGAGGGAGCTGTGGACAGCCCCATGCAAGGGACAGGTAGAGGGAGAGAAACTTCCTAGCCGTCTGAGGAGGACGAGTGAAAGAAGATGAAAAAGATAAAAAGCAAAGGTATCTCACATGCTGATGAAAAAGTCAAGTTTGGAATGGAGTTTGGAATAAACATTTGGCAGCACTCGTGGAAATTAAAATGTAATTCCACTTTTCGGTATCTATCTACCAGGAAGGAGTAGGCACATAACAGCAGAGGGGGAGGTGAGGGGAGCACCCTACCCCTGCAGGCCGTATGAGGTGCATTGCGCAGAATTTCACAACAGTCATCTGACTAAAAGCCTGCCTGCTGCTAGTTATCACCAGGCAAAAGAAATCCTAAAAATCATTGATAAGCTGCTCCTCCCCACTGTAGCAGACTGCTGCCGTACACCCCGCCAGCTCGGCATGGCACTAGGTACTAGCATTATTGCAGCATTGTTTATAATAGGGGAACTTCGGGAAAAACCTCAATGTCCAGCCACAGGGGAAAGGCCAAAATCAAGGATGATACGTGCTGATGAGCAAACAGGACATACAACAGTTAAAAGGAATTCACACACCTGTATGTCTGAATAGATCCTAAAAACACTGCTGAAAAAGCAAAAAGTACATGAATATCTTCATATTGACACCTCTGCAGAGACAATGCCTCACGTGCCTTGAGGAATATAGATACGAATATAAACGCATAATTAAAGGAGTGGAGATAGGCCCCAGGAGCAGTTACTGCTAAGGACCAAGGGTACTGAGGTTGGGAGTGGTACTGAAGAGGACTTGATTCACGATTTAAAAAAAAAGAAACAAGGCAAATGTAAAGTTATTGGTGTAATTAAAAGTGACACAACTGAAAATAAGTTTTTTGAAAAGTACCCATGATGGAAAAAGGCGCGAGCCTCTTCATTGTCCAGAAGGTGCACTATTCGAGTTCCCACCTTGTTTCCCTTTGCCTCAGCCTCACTTTGGGGACATAAAGGGGACACAGGAATCTCATGGGCACACCTCACTGACATATGGTCCCACCTGCACATGTGAACTCTCCACTGCCTTGCCCCAGCCTCCCCCAAACCCTACTGTTTCTGGGAGCCCTAAGCAGAGAGCGTACTAAGTGTCAGCTGGAAACTGCTATTTGGGCAGGCTTCTGCTCCAGGCCGCTGCTTCCTGGGAGAGTGGAGGATCTCTAAGTCAACCCATCAGATGGACCTGGTACAGGGGTGGGAAGGAGAGGGAAGACTCAAGGAGTAGACCACCCTTCAGGGGGCGTGGCCAGCTTTTCCTCCTATGTCCTGGGTTCTGTAAGAATGCACTGCCCCACCCCGCCCAGGTAACCCCCTCTCCAGGTCACCTGCCCAGCCCCCAGGCCCTGATTGTTAGGCTCTCAGGCAGGCTGAGGGAGGGCCCACAGGGAGCGGGGAGCTTTGAGCCTTTCTGCTCTGTTTGAATCTATTTGGCTGTTAAAGAGATATGAATATTGTGCTTTTAAAATTCATTTAAGTTTTCTTTCTGTCAATGATTTACTAGCGATATGGATCAGCTTCCTTAAGGTCTGTTTCTACTTTCTGGAATTAAACTGAATCAGAAAGTTGGCAACAGTACCATCCCTCCAGTCCAATCCCTGCAGTGGGATGTGGGTCTCTTTGATTACAGACCCTCTGTCCACACTGAAACCCCCAATGACCATTGCAGAAGGCTGAGTTTTGTACTCTCTATACTAAAGGGAAAAAAAGAAGAGGAGGGATTTTCTCCACTATAAAATGTCCTAGAACCTCCCTCCTGTCCTTCCACAAACTGGCCTGCATCCCCGCTCATTCTTTCCTTTGCCCAGTTCTCCAGCTGCCCTCCCAAATGAAGAAAGCAGAAAGCCCAGGCTTGAGAATGGATGCCCGCCCTGTGGAAGAGGCATCTTCTGTCCTCTCGTTGCCATCTGCTCACCTACAGGCCTTGGGAGGCAGTGTGTGTTGTGTTTGTGTGTTGGTTGCTGTGGCTGCCCTGGTGGGTCCAGTGTGTTTATCAGAAAAAAAGGGAGAGGGCCTCGAATTAGTTGAGGGGGAGAGGATCCCAGATGTGGACGTAGGAGGAACCCCAGGTGGGGACCTCTGGTGGGAGTGGAGGAGAAAGAGATGCTGCTGCCTTCTCTTTCTGTTTCTGGGTCCTTCTCAAGACCAAGCTCATGGTGCTGCCCACATGGCTCCTGGAGAGAGGGCACATTGGCCAACAGGCCCCAGGATGCTTTCTTAGGCCTCAAAAAGGTTTTCACAGGGAAGAGGCTCCCCCCTCCCACCACCCACTGCCACAGTGCCCCGGAAAGCTGAGACTTTCTGTTCTCCTCCTTCATCGGATCCATTCCACAGTGCTAGTCTGAGAGGTAGAGTGGGTGGGGGAGGCACAGAGGAGGTGTTTAGCCCTATGGGGTGGGAGGTAGGGGTACTTATAAAGCCTGGAGCCCCACATGCAAGGTAGGAAGGGTGGAGTCTGAACCAGATTGATGGGTACTGACTTCCTCTCCTGCCCCTTGCCCTGATGCCGGAGGCCACGGGGAAGGGCTCTGACCTCAGACAAGGGCACTGCTGCGCTGGAGGGGAGCTGGAGCCCTGAGGTTTTGGTGGGGAGGAGGGCTTCAAACCAAAGCCCTTCCAAGCCTGCTGGGCCCCACGGAATGGGAAGGTTTCTCTTGGGGTAGCGACAGCAGGCCAGTTGCTGGTCACCTCTCTCCACCTCCTGTATCTGCCCTGTGCCCCCTCCCCCCACTTTGCTTCTTTAGGCTTCTCCCCCTCCCCCAAGCCCCTGTCTTCTGTGTGGCTTGCTAGCTTGTTCCCATCCCACCCAAGAGCGACTCCTTCTGGCCCTGGCTGGGAAGTAAATGTGTATGCTTTTGTCACCAGTGTATCAGGGTAGAACGTGAAGTAAAGGAAGTTCTGGAAAAGGTCAAATGTCACAATCAGGTCCAGGGAGCAGGATAAGAACCCTGAACCCTGCAGAGAGCCCTGCATGCTGCTGCGAGGCAGGTGGGAAGCTGGAGGGTTTGAGGGGGAGAGGTGAGTGACCACTCAGAGGGGTCTCAAAGGACAACTGTTTTTAAATGTGGTGAGGAAGGCCCAGCCCTAGGGACTGGAGGCTGAGAAGCTGGTCCAATGGCACTGAGGAGTGGTGGCAAAGATTTCTGAGAAGGATGGGGCGCTCGGCTCCAGCTCCTGCCAGGCCAGCTGTCTGTGCGAGGGAAGGGAGCTTCCTGAGCCAGTGCTGAAGTGGGCGGAGGTGCAGATGTCTGTCCAGTGTGCCAGACAGCCCTGGGACCAGGAGAGGCCGCCTCTGCCCTCCCACACTGCGCCCTGGGCCTGTCTCTGTGCTTCACAGCAGAAGGAAGCAGGAGGTATGTAGTGGGCCTGTCTTCTGGGAAGGCTGGAGTTATTTCTTTAGTGATCTCATTTGCCCACAGTAGTGCGTGTAGAGGCCTCTTTCCTGCTGCAACCAAACTCTAGACCTGCCTATAAGAGAGAAAATTGAGAAAATAGATGCATCTTCCATCACTCTATCGGTGAGTTAGGGGATAGATGGATGGATGGATGGATGGATGGATAGATAGATAGATGGTTTCCTAAAAGAACACCGTGTGAGCTGTTCTCTGGTATTTCCTTCCTCCTGAGGTCACAGAGCAGCTGCTGTTGTGATGCCTTGATTGACTTTATTATTTTACCCCTAAATATGCCCCTTTGATTCATAAATTATTTAGTTTTCATGTTTGGTTTTTGAAAATCAACTTTGTTGAGATATAATTCACATACCATGCAATTTAGCCAGAGTGTACAATTTCAGTGATTTTTAATATACTCAAGGAGTTGTGCAACTATCTCCACAATCAATTTAGAACACTTTCCTCATCCACAAAAGAACCCCACACCCATCAGCAGGTATTCCCTATTTCCACCAACCCCACCTCCAGCACTAGGCAACTCCTAATCCGCTTTTGGT